ATACATGGTGCCCTTATATGCAGGCAAAGCAGTCATACAAACAAAATAAAAATCATAAAAGTAAACTTCTTTAAAAAGAGACAGCTAATAAGTAATCCACGCCTTCCAACACAGAGGACCCTGAAACACAGGCCCAAAGTGAAGGAATCCAAAGTTTCTGAGTGAACTCATGGGGACAAGCTGCCTGCAGACCGGTTCCCCCTCCACTGGGAGGACATCCAACAAGATCCAAACCCTCAGGCTGAGCCACTGAGATCTTGACACTTGTAGCGGCTGGTTTTACTCTCAGTTCATACAAAACTCAAGAGATTCCATTTTAACAGCAAACCACCATTCACGCACGTGGTCCAGTCTGGGATGCAGCTACAAGTCTAGCTTTCAACCACTTGATGGAAGAAAGATTGGGCTGGCCAAAAAAAGGAAAACACAACTTAAACTTGAATTGAGTTGATCCTCTGACCTAATTTTAACTTTCCATAAAGGGCATGTGTAAATTACACTTTACCTCACAGCCTTGTATCAACTCAACTACTGAAAATAAAATTGTAAGATGCAATTAAGGAAATTAAGTAGGAAGGTTTGTGCCCAGGTAATACATGATTTAAGTCACCTGAATTTCTATGTATTTTATTTGTTCCCTACAAAATCACACACACACACACACACACACACACACACACACACACACACACACACATTTTTTTGATTATGCTTCACAATTGGAAAGGACTGAATCATAAAAAATGTCTTCTATGACATTTTTATTCTGATCCCATAAAGGTCAACCTACTTGAATGTATTTGGGAAATGTTAATATCTCTACTAAATAAAGGAAGCAGAGACACTGGGGGGTTTCAGTGTATGCTGTAATGACCAGAGAAAGAAGCTGACATGCAGAAGCCCTGCTTTGTGTCCCCAGAGAGCGCCTTCAATTCGCAGGTGTTCTATTAGAAATAACGAAGTGGAATCTTCCACTTGCCTTTAGGAAAAGAGCTCAGGCACATTAGAGTCTAGCAGGACACAAGACTAACTGTGTTGTCTGGAGGGCTTGGGGACCTCGTCTTCCCTGGTTTCATTGCCAGCCTACAAAAGAAAACTTATTAGTTACTTTGGGGATGGCATAAATGCATTCATCACCATAGTAACCAAAAGATTATCCCCTGGTAACTGAGGAAGTTAGAAGGAATGGCTTGCATTAAGTAAACAATTTTAATCTCAGCATTCTTAAACTTAAAGAAAAGCATTTGTTTAAACATGAAAGAGGAGGATTTGGATATTCAGTCCAAGGTTCTGCCTTAGAAGATGCCCAAGTGATCACATTCTAGGAATTTAAAAAAATATATTTTATGGGCTGGAGAGATGGCTCAGCAGTTAAGAACACTGGTTGTTCTTGCAGAAGACCCGGGTTTGAATCCCAGCATCCACATGGCAGCTAACAACTGTCTGTAACTCCAGTTCCAGGGGATCTGATGGCCACCTCTGTCCTCTGGGGGCATTGCACGACACAGGTACACTTACCTACATGCAAGCATACACATAAAATAAAATAATAAATAAAATATTTAAATTTTTTTATTTTGTGTGTATGAATGTGTTGCCTGTGTGTAGGTAAGTGCACTGTGTCATGCAATGCCTGTGGAGGTGAGAAAAGGAGGTCAGAAGAGGGCATAGGATCCCCTGGAACTGGATTATGGAAGGTTGTCAGCTGCCATGTGGGTGCTGGGAATGGAACCTGGGTCCTCTGCAAGAGTAGCGAGTGCTCTTAATAACTGAGCCATTTCTCTAGCCCCTGTGACTACATTCTAAAGGTGAATGAGATTATTGTCTCACAGGGCGCCTAAAAAGCTGAAAATCAGGTCTGGGAATGATCTCCAGATCCACAGGGAAGCCTGACACTGTAGCCTACATCTGTAATTCAGTACTCCTACAGCAAAATAGCAGACGGGACAGGAGAATCCTAGGAAGCTCATAGGACACGGTCTCCAAAAAGGCAGAAAATAAGAACTGACAGTTGAGGTTGTTCTCTGATCTCCACACATACTCCATGGCATACATGTACATGTATCCACACATGCATGCACATACATTTCACACACCAATACTTTAGAAAATGAAACTGTACGAAGTCCCTTTCTGTGTGGTTGTACTCACCTGGATCTTCAGTGGTATTCTCACTCTTTCCATTTGCTCACTGCATTGGATGACAACTGGATACCACGTTTTTGATGTTTAATGTCTGTCTTCCTGATTAAAACCCATGAGGGTAGGAACCATGGATGTATAACTAGAACCTTGAATAGTGCTCTGCACTTAATCGTCTCTTTATAAATTCACATGGAATTGACTGACTGAAAAATAGCATCCAACAGAAAATCATAAATACCTTGTTCATTTGTTACACATTAATTATTTTTATCTCTTTTCCAAATGAGCAACTGTATATAGCTTGGAAGCAATATATAAGGGCTATCTCCACCAAGTGCTATATGGGTCTTCTTTTCTCATTCATTTTCTTTGGATCTTTGGGTGTATGACAAGAAATTTACCTTTGTCAAGAGTTTGCAAAGGCAATCAGTCACAGGAAAAAGAATTGAATCTGTAGTATAGCAAAGCTGTGTCAATTTCACTGATCTAGTTTAAGTATAGATATATGCAGCTAGTTACAATGTGGCTCTGGTGTCTGTTAGTCATTCTTTCTCTCACTGGGGTTTTGATGGCTTTGTTATTGAGGAATGTTCTAATGCCTTGAGTCCAGTTCAGCTCAGATCTTCTCTCGTAGCTTTGATCTGTACCTTTGGCCGATACATTGGTCTCAGAATCTCATCTTGGTTCAAGGTCACCTGGTCAATTTCATCAGTCAGAAACAATTGCTGATATGCCCAAAGTAGAAAAAAAAATGGTGGGGGGTGCCTGAAATTACTTCAATGTTTCAAGTGTTCTCCCTTGGCAACATATATGGTTTAATGGTTATGCTTGGATTTCATCGTTATCCATACGTTCATCCTAGGGACTGCTGAAAACTCTGCACAGCTCTTTTCTTGTACTGCCTCTGAATACAGGGTTCAGCTCTTGTGGGAAGGTTTGAAGGCTTGCATTGATTTGGGCAAAAAACCTTCATGTTGACAGTTGGAGTTCTTAATCAAAGAGGAATGACCAAAACTTTTGACGGTATGAGTGATATCATTTTTATAAAATACATATCTGCTATACCAATCATTTTTTTGTTTGCTTAAGACAGGATGTCACTGTTTAGCCCAAATTAGCTTTGAAGTTACAATACTCCTGCCTTAGCCTCCCCAATGCATTTTTTTAAATAGATTTTTTTTCCTACCATAATATAATTTATTTTCTTCAATTACATTATCTTGGATCTGGCAGTAGGTAAGTTGGTTGGTTGAGAAAATTCTCTGTTTGTTATTACATCCCTTTCTGAGTTACCTGGACACTAGTGGAAGATGAGACTTTGCTCTACTAGGTATGATCCTCCTTTCTTACTCAGGTTGAGGCCAAACCACATGAATAGTGATGGTCCTGTGTGCCTGAGCCCTTGAAGACAAGGACTTTATGGTTTGGAAATGAATTGATCATGAGATATTTATTTCTGTGGTTGTGAGAAGTGTCAATTTGTGCACTCAAGAATGCAAAACCTGGTGATAATAGTTGTCTCCCAGCCAGAATTAGTGCTAGTGTAGAAAGCGTGTCAGGAAAACATGGCAGCCATCACTTATGTATGAACTGGGTTGACATTTGCTCCTTCTGGTCAAAGGCGGGGCCTCTGATTTGTCACCTGCCTCACTTGATCATCATTTCTACTGATTATTGAGAAGAGAAGGAGTGCTCCTAAGTAATCTCAGTGATGTCAAGATCTCTGACATTGGGTGTGTGTGTGTGTGTGTGTGTGTGTGTGTGTGTGTGTGGCAGGGGGTGTGTGATAGTCACTCAGAGTCTAGGTACTGGAAATCAATGCTAGTCCAAATCCTATCTCTCATTCTAGTTTTGGAAACAAGTTGCCCAACCTCAACATCCAGCTTTCCTCACTGATAAGAGAGACACAACAATTGTATCTGGCTCTTGGGAACTGAAAGGATTAAATGAGACAGTCTGTATTAAGTATTTCACATGGGAACACTCCCACACTGAGGTCTCAATACCACTAGTATTATTTTATTGGAAACCATCTCTTTATAAAACCATGACTTTATTTAAAATTCCTTTAATTCAAAATTGTCATAACAACTAAGAACTGCTTAGTTCTCAAGGTTTTCTAAAGATGAATACCTTAATTGTGGCCACCAGGCATGCAACAGTGCTGCTTCTTGTGCTTACACATGAATACAATTTCTGTGTTCTGCTGTGGCAGACTGACCTCCTTGTCTGCCTACTCAGCCTGCCTGGACTATGTGAACTATGCCAAGCCTCCCTCACCTCTGAATATGTCCTCATACTGAAGCCCTACATTTCTCTCCCACAGCATAGTTGAGACTCCTATTACAATACCCATGGGCTTTTCCCTCTCCCCTCCCTCTAAGAATTCTTAATTGTGCAGACTCGGGATCAAGAGTCACCAAGATACACACACACACACACCATACTTTCATAATAAATGCATGGAAGGACTTAAGCACTCGTAACAATGTAAGAGCATCCAAAAATTATTGAAGGTTCGAATGGTACTTTCATTTTTAAATTTTTTAATTTTTTTGACTTTTTGAGACAGGGTCTCCCCGTAGTCCCAGCTGGCCTGGAACTCACTATGTAGACCAGGCTGGGCTCAAACTCACAGAGATCCACCTGCCTCTACGTTTTTATGTTTTGAAAATACAAGGAAACATTATGTGGGGTTTTCTTTTCTCCTGATGGATAGACAACAGATGATTAAAGAGTCATTCATTGCCAAGTCCTGACACTGCCTTTCTCCATTGGGTCTCCAAGGAGAGTCACATGCTTTGGATATCTTTAAAAGAATTTCCTGAGGCCTCAGCATCTCATTGGCTTCTCCTACATCCCACCCAGCGCTGTGCTGAACTCCCATCCATCACAATGAGCAACAAATTCCTGGGCACCTGGAAACTCGTCTCCAGCGAGCATTTTGATGACTACATGAAAGCCCTGGGTAAGAAATGCTTTGTGACATGCTTGCTGTAAGATCCTTAACATAAATGAAGTTATTTAAGTGCACAAAACTCACTGACTTCCTATCAGTAGGTCATCATTGGAGACTTGGAAGAAAGAAATTTTAAAATGCTAGTCAACCCATATGCTAGGCTTTCTTGAAAACTAACTTCGTAACAACTAGTGTGCTCATAAAACAAAGAGTTGAATACTAGAAAACTGCAATTAAAATTTTTAATCTTTAAATAAATTAAAATTCTCTCTCCCTCTGCCTTGTATTTGTCCATTATGAAATAATCATATAGATGTGTGGAGTTTGAAAAATGAAATATTTCCTAGGTAAAGGGTGTTCATAGCCTAAGGAAGGTGCAAAGAGAGAAAAAAGGACTGGTGGAAGTGAGCTCAAACTTGGTCCCACTAACCCTGACCTTCCTGCTTTGGGGGCAGTGACTATAGATAGAAAACTAAGTCATTCTAGAAAACAGCTTCTTCAAGCTAGTTCTAAAAATTGTTCTAGAGACATAAACATGACAATAGTAAAGGAACTTTAGAAAATTCTAGAGCTATATAAATATAATAGAGGGTGATATCAGGGGCTTTACTTATTTGTTCAGAGAGCTTATGCAAAAGTGATTTTTAAAAAAATGTGTGTGTGTGTAAATTAGGAAACTAGAATGGGGGCTGTATGAAGAGAGGAAGAGATCTTAAGGTAGTGGGGGCGGGAGAGAGGAAGTCATGATATGTATGAAAGTAAGGGGGAGCAGATATGGGGAGGAAGTAAACCAGTAAGATAGGGAACACAGATGGGGGAAGGAAGAGAAGGTCAAATACAAACAAAATGTGTAACACATACGTATGAAAATTCCATCATGGAACTCATTGCTTAGCATACTAAATAAAATCATTTTAAAATTAAAAATTTTATATTAGATTAAAAGAACAAAACCATGTCATCATTGCCTAGAGACGATGAGAACTTATGGGAAAGGATTCATATTTGAAGACTGATTAGATTCATGGACTTCACTTTGTAGGTGAGGAAGAAAATACAAGGAAGTCTCAATGAGGGACTCATGTCAGTGTTTTGAAATCATAGCTCTTAAGGCCCCTTGGGATTTGGTGAATGAGATCTCTCTCACACTCTACATCAGAGATGATGACTTAGTGTTAATAGCCATTATTAATTCAACTGTGAACCTAAAAATTTACAGCCATTTTTGAAAGAGATGTATCCTTGCTCTGGAAATTGTTACTGAAATAACTGGAATATGTTAAAGCTGTAATGAAATGCTTCTTCTAATCATGTGGTTATTAAGTTAAAAAATCCTCCCCCCCAAAATATATAAGTTAATTTTTTAAAAAATGTCCTCAGTAGGGTCAGTGAGATGTCTCAGCAGGTAAAAGCACATGCTGCTAAACCTGACCACCTGAGTTGGATCCCTGGGACCTACACTGTAAAAGGAGAGGACCCTGAAAGTTATCCTCTGATCTACACAGAGACACTATGTACACACACACACACACACACACACACACACACACACACACACAGTGTAAATTTAAAATTACAAATAAAATAACAAAAGTTGAATGAGAACTAGAAGGAACACAATTTATGGATTTTTAGAAGTCACACATCATTTCTTATTTAGTGTAGATGAAGATGTAGAATTTTTTAATACAAAAAAGTAAATCTAAGAATTGAGGTTTCCAGTTAAAACTAGTTTTTCCCTCATGGGTTTCTTATTCTACATTTATTCTTTTTTCATATACTTCAGTAGTTTGGTAGTAGTAGTAATAAAACTTAAGACTAATTAATTGTATGTTTTCCCACTGCAGAAAAGTTTTGAAAAAATCATTTTATCTATGATCTTTTGTAACATTACAGATATTGAAGTTTGTTGGATAGGTCTTTCTGTGGTGTTACTATGCTGACATATAATTACCTGAACAGACAGCCTACTCTTAAATGCGGTTTTTAAGAGTGGGTCCAAACATGGAGGACACTCATTCCCCTAGAGATCTCTTAGAAGCATCTGTCTCCTAAAGCTGTGCTGATAGAACTATCTTGCTGGAATTCTGGCCTTGGAACTATGTCCAGAGTTTGACCCCACCCATAATTTTATTCAAAATCGTTTCTCCAGCTTCAATTGGGGAAGTACAAGCTTGGGTCCACCCTAATCTTAACAGACCATCTGGCTTTTTCATCCCCAGTTCTAGAATATCTCATTCATCCAAGGTCACATGTCCTTCCCAATCTCCACTGTGTGCTGTGGAGATGAGGAGCTGCCTTTCAGTGCTTTAATATGTTAATTCTCAAGCTCACCTACATTCATTCATTCATTCATTCACTCATTCGCTCATTATTTTTTAGGGGAGAGTACCAAATTGAGGTTGCCTAGGAAATGAAATCAGGGGCCAAGGTTACAAGACACAAGAGTACAAGGTTTTGCTGGTGTTAATTAAAAGTCAGTCCAGATTGTATCCACTAATGAAAGTCATTCACACAGTTTTTCCCACCACATTTAGGAGCCACAAAATTTCAGAAATGAGACTCTATCAAGGATATGAGGGAGAGTCTTCTCTATGTCCATAATACATTGCTGAGGAGGAAATACCATAGAACAGTGTATATCTGCTACTGTCTCACTAAAAGTAGTTATAATGCTTGTGTGTACAAATGAAGATGTTTTTAATGCTTTATACAAATCCAAAATGGCAGGCCAGGAGTGGTGGTGCACACCTGTAGTCCCAGCACTTGGGAGGCAGAGGCAGACGGATGTCTGTGAGTTCAAGGCCAGCCTGGTCTACATAGTGAGTTCCAGGCCAGCTGGGACTATAGGGAGACCCTGTCTCAAAAACGCCAAAAAATCCAAAATGCCTTATTTTATGATGGAAAATAAGACTGGGTATGGCAGAAGTGGACAAACTGAACTCTTGCAGTTGAACATTTTCACTCTTTAGATTCTGTAGGCATTTCTAACAGTAACCTGGTCATGTATTTTCACTCAGTGGTGAACCAAGGGAGGAAGCTGTTAGGAAGTGCCACCACCTGCCACGTACACACATCAGAAGGGACCACTGAATACAGAATGTGGCCACCATCACCCCCCAGGTAGGCCGGCTTACCCAACACAATCTGATACTGCCTTGCTTTTCAGGTGTGGGGTTAGCCACTAGAAAACTTGGAAATTTGGCCAAGCCCAGGGTGATCATCAGCAAGAAAGGCGATTATATGACAATAAGAACTGAAAGCACTTTCAAAAACACAGAGATCTCTTTCAAGCTGGGCCAAGAATTTGAAGAAACCACAGCTGATAACAGGAAAACCAAGGTAATCTTTAACATTTTTTCTAAAAGTTGGCCCAGTCAGCTGATAGTATTTAAAAGGGTGAATGAACATGCCTTGCAACATATCTGTCATGGCAATGGTCCAACAATCAATGAACCACTTCTTTGATTAACGGAGTTCAGGCAAGCCCACCCACATAAACTTGTCTTTGCAGACCATTGTGACGCTGGAGAGAGGATCACTGAATCAAGTTCAGAAATGGAGTGGCCAAGAGACCACCATAAGGAGAAAGGTGGTGGATGGGAAAATGGTAGTGGTAAGCATACTCCCAATCCTCAATACAGAAACAATGCTTATGGATACACTGATTATGTTTGTTTCAAAATGTTCCTTATTCTTCAAAATACAAAGTCAGAGTTTATGTTTGAGTGATAAACTATAAAAGGTTCAGCTTTAAGTACTTAAAGTGCTAGTCCAACATTTTAAAATAGTAGTATCTGAAAAGTAAAGTCAACAAAAATATGGATAAATATCACTTGTTTGGACTCACAACCAAAAAAAAAAAAAAGTCTAAATTTCAAAAGCAACTCATAATACAGAAAAGATCAATTGTAGAATATTTGCAGAAAAAGCACTTTGCTTTCGGGAATCCATCTACACCTACACTGAACCAATGTAAAAAATGCAAACGATGCTCCTGGAAAACTCCTATACGTTAGCAAATAAGAAAGATGAAGAGATGGCCTCTAAGGAGTTTTTAGGCTATGCTTCTGCATCCACTAATTAATACATACATTGAATGCACATACATTCCTATAATATCTTTAATGTTTCTTTCTCAGTGTATAGTGGCTCTTAGCACTTGGTGTGCAATAGATTTACATGAGGAGTCAATCAAATGCAAATCTCTTAGGAAATATGCATTCAAATGTTCTTTGAGTAATACAAATGTAAAAATAGTTTTTGTATTGGTTACTATTCTCTTTGTTGTGGCCAAAACATGCTAGGAAGGACTTAAGAGAGAAGGGTTTATTTTGACTTACAGTTGGAGAGAACACAGGCCTTCAGGACAGGGAAGTCATGATAGCAGGGGCTTGAGGCACTTGGTCCTGGGACATCAGGAAGAACAGAGAGACAAATGCTGGTGTTCAGATCATGTTCTCTGTTTTATTCAGTCCAAGATCGCAGCCATGGAGTGGTAACTGCCCTCTGGTCTTCCCACTTCAATAACCCAGTGTAAAATCTCCCTCACAGACACACCCAGAGGATAGTTTTGTTTCTGTGGTAATTCTAAATCCCATCAAGCTACCAATCGACATTAAGCATCATATTTTTGAAAAAGCATTCTTTCTGAGATTTAAATGCATGTAAACTCTGCATAAAAATTTGCTACTTTATTAAAATAATGTCCTCAATAGTAATACAGATCAACTGTAAAACCTTTTCTCAAGCTATAACTAAGGATCTATTGGCAATTGATAAATGCCGGGAGAGAGTCAGTTTTCCTTACTGAAGTAATGCCTGGTAGATTTATTAGATAAATCCCAAGGGATAAACCCACACCCAAGAGTGTTTAGGAAACACAGACTAGACTAGAAATGTCTTTTAAAAAATTAATAATAATGAGCACATTAGTGTGCGGGGGATAGTAAAGTGAAGGTGGTGAAGGGGATGGGTCTGAATATGATCCAAATACGTTGTATAAAATTCTCAAATCAATAAAAATATTAAAAGGTTAAAAAACGTTTTCTCAAATTTCAGTGGTCATAATTATGAATTACTAGAGCTTAGCATCTGAATATGGATATTTTACCTTACGAGCTCATTGTGAACTTGTATTTTATTCCAAGTGCACTATCCTCAGACTTGTATTTTAAATAATTAATATCTCTCTTTTAAGGAATGTATGACGAAGGGTGTGGTCTGCACCAGAATCTATGAGAAGGTCTGAGAAGACCTCTACCTCATTCAAGTGGTATTTGATATTTAACACTGGAAATCAAGCAGCAAGACCCGAGCACACTGCAGCTTGTTTGTTTTCTGCACTTGTCTTAATATTTCAGACATGAAAAGGGTTAAACTGAGAATTAATCTAAAATTGTTATTTAGACATTTTTCATTTTCATACAACTTACTATGTTAAACCTTATGTATTGAATAGACAAATAGTTCCTAAAGTCATTAATTGTCTACTAAGTTATAACCTATATTATGCTCAGATTACTTGAAATAATAATACAATGAAGTAATCAAATAGCAAAATGAAGACAAAGCATTGATCTGGGTAGTGATCCCAGATGTCCCCTGGGGCTAGACAGTTGCGAGGCAGGGGAGTCACAAAGGAAACAAAGCAAGAGAAAGAACTGCTTGAACTGAGGCTTCTAGTTTCAACTAATGGAGTAGGTTCCACTCTACTTTTAAGATTGGAGAGTAATGTGAAGACAATGAAAGGCACTACTGTGGCAGAGTCCACCACGTTATAACAGTGCATATACCTGTAGAACTCACATCCCAGTAGAGATGTTTATAAACATTTCCTTAATCTCAGAAATCTGCCTCATATCCTTCCTCAGGTAATATCCTGCTTGCCCCCTCCCACCAAAAACAGGTATAGAGATACTGATTTAGTCCTAGATTGGTTTTGCTGAAACAGAACTAATCTTCATGTATTCATTTCTGTTTGCCTTTTAAAGCTTAGCATAATGTTTTTCAGGTTCATCCAGATTGTTGCATGTAATAGTAATTTGTTCCTTTTTATTGTTGAGTAGTATTCCATTCTCTAACTATATCATTTTACTTACCTATCTTTCTGTTAGGACAACAGGTTGATACCAGTATTTGTCTACTATGAATAAAGCTGTTACATTCTTATATAAGACTTTAGTGACCATATGACCTCGTTCCTTTTGGATAAATAGCTAGTCATAGAATTACTGAGTTCAGTAATTTTTCATAGGCAAGAATGAGGGGCCATGAATATAAATGAGATGTATTATATGATTGAGTAAATGGTAAGTGTGTGGTTGTTGATGGCAGCCCCGAATATTCACTGTAGAAGAAGGCATATACAAATGCAGACTGGGAGAAGACAAGAACGAAACATGAAGGAATGCAGCAGAATCAGTGTGAATCCGTGGATTCCACTGTTCTGTGAATATGAAATGTCCCCATAGTCTCATGTGTTGAATGCAGTCTCCAGTAGGTAGCGATATCTTGGGAAATAGTGGGTGAAAACTTCAGCAGGTGGGGTATATCCAGAGGAAGTAGGTCACCCAGGGGCATGCCTTTGAAGGTTACATGCAATCCCTGGTTCCTTCTGGTCTCTCCTCTTCCTGTCTTCCATGAGTTGGGTAGCCTCTGCTACATGGTCCAGCTGTGATGATGTTCTGTCTGAACTCAGAACCAGAACCAGCATAAGAGGCTTATGAATTCTAACTTATGAAACTATGAGCCCAAATAAATCCTTCTTCCCTCATTGTTTATAACAGGCATTTTGTCACAGTACAGAAGTCTAATAGTTTCTGAGCTATGTGTATGTTTATAAGTAGATATAATGTATACCATATAATTGCATGCATATATATGATGCAAATTCTGTCAAGTTGATGATGACATCACAGTTGTAAAGTAGCTTCACACAAATTTCTCATTAATTTTAAGGAAAAATAAGAGCCCATATGCAGTATCAAAAATGAACAGCTACCTTACTGGGTTATCCAAGTTAATCTCATCAATAAAGGGCAGAGACGTAACACATGGGTGCTTTTGACTCTAATGGTCTGAGAAGGAAGCATTATCACCTATTGAACACTGTAGTTTGGGATCCACACCTGAGGTTAATCATAAGGAAATATCCAAGAAATTCCAAATAAAGAATGTTCTATTTTAAAAATGAAGGAGAGTGTAGGCTAAATTTTTCAAAACACCAATGTTAAAGAAGACAAAGAAAGGCTGTGGAAATGTTCCAGATTAAATTAATATAAAAATATATGACAGCTGCCTGCAGTGAATGATTCTGGATGTGTCTTGAAAGAGAGGTATAATAAATGGCCCAAAGGGTCATTATTAGGTCAGTCAGTGAATTAGAATATACATGGGAGATTAGGTTACAGGTACACTGTGGGACAAGAGAGACGGCTCAGCCATTAAGAGCACTGGCTGCTCTGCAGAGGACCTAGATTCAGTTCCCAGCACCCACATGGTGACAACCATCTGTAACTCCAGTTCCAGGGAATCCAATATCCCCTTCCAGCATGGTTCACTTGCATGCATGCAGGAAAGATATGCATATACATAAAATAAAAATAAATAAAATTGAGTGCTCTGTGTTTAAGTAAGACTATATTCTAGGAACATACATGACATTTTTGGGTAATGAACAGTAATTTATATGATTTAGCCTCAATTTTCAGAAAAATATATAAGCATGTATGTTCATACATATACATCCACATAGTGACTATATCCAAATGGGGTAAACTTGAACAACAGAATAATATGAATGAAAGACAGGTTTGTGTTCTGTGAATTAGTATGTTTCTTCTACCTTTCCTGTAAGTTTGAAATTGTTTCCAAATAATATTTTTAAGCTGCTTTACATAAGCAAGCCTTTCTTTTAATTAATTATTTTTAATTTATATTTATTTTTATGTGTACAAATGTTGTGCCTGTGTATATGTAAGTGCACCCATGTCATGCAATGCCCATGCAAATCAAAAGTGAGCATTGGATCCCCTGGAAATGGAGTTATGGATGGTTGTTAGCCACTATGTGAGTTTGGGAATTGAACATGAGTTCTCTGCAAGAGCAGCCAGTGCTCTTAACCACTGAGCAATCTCTCCAGTCCATAAATTAAATAATTAATTTATAAAGTATTGAATTTTTACAATTTTCATACAATATAATTTGATGGTATTTACATTCCCCCATCTGCACCTCCCCTTACTTATGGCCTCTGTCCAATTTAATGTACACTATATAGAGTCTAATTTGTGGCCCCAAATGCCTTTCAGTGTGAGTCCATCCACTGGAGACTGGTTAACCTACTAAGAATCACATCTTTGAAAGAGATTGATTCTCCTCCTCCTAGAAGTCATCAGTTGACAATAGTTTCTTAGGTTAGAATGTGTTTTCTTGTCTACTTCCCCACATCTATGCTGGTATTTTGTCTGACTTGAGCTTAGATGGGCCTTATGAATGCCATTCACCATTGCTCTGAGCTCATATGAATAACTGACCAGCTTTCTGGAAAACTATTTCCCTGTATTCATCTACCACCTCTGGAGCTTACAGTCTTTCCACCCCGTCTTGCACAATGATCCCTGAACCTTGAGAGGCATAAGTTTGATATAGTGTCATGTTCAGAGATAAGCACTCTACACCTCTTGGTTTTTGCACGTTGGCTAGTGGTGAGTTTCTGTGTTAATCACCATCTGCCGCATAGGCAGGCTTCTTTGGGAAGAGTTGAGAGATGTATTAACTCATTAGGAGTCAGTTTAATACTATTAACTATTTAGTAGAAAACTAGCATTAGGCTCTCCCCTATATTTAGTGACCCATTTAGTCTCAGATTCCTAGGCCTGATACCAATTTCAGGTATGGGTTCCATCCTACAAAGTAGACCTTGAATCCAAATAAATTAAATCTTATTTTTTGTATATGAGTGTTTTGCCTACATACATGTAAGTGTACCATATTCATGCAATGTCAGCACAGGTCAAAAGATGGCATCAGATCTCTTGGAGAGTTAGGGACAGTTGTTAGCTACCATATGGGTACTGAGAGCCTAACGGGGGTCCTCTGCAAGAGCAGCCAATGCTCTTACTTACTGAGCTGTCTCTCCATCTCCTGCCTCTGAGTTTCAGTTGACAAATTTCTGGCAGGTATCATAAGCCTAAGTGTTGTTTCTTTTGTTTTGTTTCCTATAAGGCAAATCCATTAAAAAGGAGTGTCTAAAACTATGCTCCTATTTTAGAGGTTTGTGGCAATATGACTTGCTATTAAATGTATTCATCAATAAATGTAATTATTATTTAAAAGTCTTGGGTAGTTTCTACTTTCATAACAGGAAAAGTATTACATTGATAATAATGAAGACAAAATAATCATTTCAGCAGATAGTTCATGTTATTAGCTTTTAAAAAGATTTCTCAATAGCCAGAGAAAGAGGGGTTAGGAGAAACTTATCTTAATTCATTCCAGGTACTGTAGCAAAACACCAAATGCCACATGGCTTATACACAACAGAAATACACTCCTCACAGTTTGGGATGCTGGGGAGTCTGGAGGTCTAGGAGCTGGCAATCTTGCTGTCTCATTACGGCCTATTTCCCCATTCACAGATGTGTCATTTGTTGACTTCCTTACATGGAGAAAGGTGAGAATAATTCCCATGGGCCCCTTTGATAAGGTACTACACCCATTTGTGGAGGCTCCTCCTTGTTCGTTGAGCTAATTACCTCCTAAAACTACCACCCCGGGGGTTAGGGTTTCAACATACCAATTTTGGGAGGACACTTATGGTTTGAATCTCAACTGCTTGCCAAGGGCCTGTATCCTGAAATCTGGGTCCTTAGCCCATGGCGTTATTGGGAGGTGATGAAAGCTTAGGAGGTGGTAGAGCCTAGTGGAAGAACAGTAGGTCATTGAGGGTGTATCACTGAAGGGTATATTGGGTTCCTGGCCCCTTCTCTCTTTCCTTCCCAGCTTCCATATGGTAAGCAGAGTTGCCCTACTATGTTCGACCTGCAGTGGTGTTCTGCCTTGCCAATGGGACAAGCATCCCTGGACCCAAATCTCTAAACTATGAAGTAAAATGTGTGTTTCCTTCCTTTGAATTGGCTTATCTTAAGCGTTTATCACAGTGATGGAAATCTGACTGATATAAACAATCAGACCACAGCACTGGGGTTCTATAATATTTTAAAATAGGCTCAGCATATAATTTTTATTTAACACTATAGTCAAGAACAGGCAGACTGCTTAGCTCAAACTTCAGATTTTCTTACTGGCTGTG